TGGGGGTGGTCAGGACCAGAGCCAGAGGAGCTTCCATGACAGCAGTGACAGCAGTGGTGGCCCTGGCAGTGTGAGTACCCCAGGGTGGGGCCCGCGTGGCTTCGGGGACTTGCAACTGAGCTCTGGGGACAGAGAAAAGCCCATCCCGGTAGGAGGCAGCAAAGACCTGGGTTGGGGCTCCCATCCTGCTCTGACACGTACCACAGGACAGGGCTGGTCCAGGCCTGGCGGTCCTGGCTCACCCTTCTGGCCCTTCACTCCTTTCCGGCCAGGGATGCCTCGCTCCCCCTGCACAAGGAGGGAGATGGGGGTATGGTCATGGCTGTCAGGCTCAGGACACCTCCATGCCTCTGAGAGAGATGGGACTGGGGCCAGCAGCCACCCCCGCCCCACTGCCCCTAGCCTAGCCTCCGCCTGTCCCCTCCTCCTCCCGCTCCCCTCGCCTTCTCTCTGCCTGCTTCCGTCTACTCCTGCCTTCTTTCCCTCTGCCCCCATCTCCTCTCTAGCGGCCCCCACTTCTCTCCACCTGCCCCCACCTTCTCTCCACGCTCGCTCCGGTCGCCTTTCTCTCCTCGGGGTCCAGGGAAACCCTGACAAAAGGAATAAAGGTTAAACTGGAAAAGAACTGCTCTGCTCCTCTCCTATCCAACACTGCCCCCTCTCCATGCATATGTATGGTACAAGCTGGCCCAGCCCCAACTCCTGGGTGACACATATGCTGGGTACAAGGCTGACATAGGGAAAAGCATGCATTTAGGGCACCAGCACTGCTTCCTCCCAAGTCAAACACTCTCGGAGTCTCTAGATGGAAGCCCTCAGGCAGAACCGCTAGCAAGGGGCTCTCTCGTGTCACAGTCAGATGCAGCTGGCATTGGCCCAGGCTTGGCTGGGGACAGAGACCCAGGAAACCCATGGAAATTTATGTAACCATCTTTGACAGACCGAGAATCTCTGTTCCCTACCCTTGGCTCAGACTCTTGTACACCCAGCCACCCTGCATTTGTTCATCTGTCCGTACATCCAATCAGCATTTCTAAGCGTCCACTAGGAGCTGCGCTAGGGGCTGGATGCTGGGGACAGAGAAACAAATCTGATGTGTTCCCTCTTACATTATGTTTTTCATTTTCTGTATCTTATGATGTTTTGACATATTAAAAATCTTGCTGGCCAGCTCCCAGGGCTAGCCAGTTCTTAGAGCGAAGGGCTAGGCTGGGAGCTTGCCTTTCATATGCAAACCAACCAATGCTGCAACCACTTCCTTTGTCTACCACTCACATACCAGGCCAATACTTCCCCTGCCAGAAATCATCCCAGGGCCAGGTACCAGGAAACTAGAGACCAGCCCTATAGCCCAAAGCCCGCCGGAATTATTCAGACTGGCCAATCCTAAACTGGTCATTCTGCCCTGCCTTTCCCATGGAAACCCCATAAAAACTCTGGCCTAGGCTTTCCCCTGCTCCTTTCTGCCTCCTGACCAAACACGGTGCTTCCTCATGTGGCCCTGCAGAGTGGCATGCCCTCCTCTCAGGAAATGTAAGTAATAAATTCTTCTTTCAAAGGCATTGACCTCTCCGTGTCATCACTCAGTCATCTCCATAAATTAAAACCCTATGGGTATAAATGTGATACTCCTTTCATAGTCTAACATGGCATGCAGTAGGGTGCAGAAGGAGACGATTGATGCTCATTGAGGTGTGAACCAGACGCCATGGGGTCCCAGGGAGAGGGGCTGTTCTGTGCAGATGTGAGGTCAGCGAAGCCTGCTGAGCAGACGACTCATTGCAGCTGGGCCTGGGGGAGTGGGTGCAGGGTCAAGAGTCTGCAAGGTAGAGCAGGTGGGTGTGGCTTTGAGATGCTACTCTGAGCTCCATGCCTCCCAGGAGGCAGCTGTGGCCACATTGCTGGTGGCATGGAGTCTCTTTAGCTCCACCCCACTACCTCCCTGGGTCCAGAGCCTGAACTGGATGCAGTGTTGTCTTCTTCTCCTGACCCTTCTCTTGGGTGGAACACAGCCCTTGAGTCGGCAGTTGCTCTCCGAGGTGATATTCTTTCCCTCAAGTCTAGGGTGGACATCTGAGTCCTTGCAGCCCTGCATCTGGTCACCATTTCCCTTGCAATAGCTACCTGATTTTCCTGGGAACCACCTTCCCTTCTCACAATCCACTGACTGTACCCCCAGCTCCAGGCCAGAGCATGTGAGCAGGCCTGGCCAGTCGGGGCACTGCATTCCTATGGCCAGGTGATGTTTCAGCATTACCCAACTGAGGCCATGAGAGTTGATGAGACTTTTCCTAAAAGAATAGAGAGTGAGGAAAACAGGCTTTCTCCAGGATTTGGGCCTGGGGAGATAAAGGTGTGGAGCTGTTGGCTCCATCTCATCACCATGTGGAACTTGGAATGATGCCCACAAAAAGGAAGCAGGGACAAGAGAGGGTGAGAGATTGGGTTGTGTTGACACACTTGAGCCCTGGATCCATATGTTGTACCTCCGGACTTTCAGTTATAAGTCAGTTTAAACAAGTTTAAATTGTGTTTTCTGTCACTTGCAACCAAAAGACACTTGATCCAATCAACATTGGGCTAATACTTCCCCTCCTCTCCTTCCCACAATACTACCCTAGCCTCATCATCTCTCACCAGGATATTGCAATAGGCTCCTCACTGCACTTTCCACCTCCCCGCTCCAGTGCATCATCCATCCATCCATCCATCCATCATCCATCCACCCATCATCTATCCATCATCCATCTATCCATCCATCCATCCATCATCCATCCATCCATCATCTATCCATCATCCATCTATCCATCCATCCATCAATAAAGTACCTATTCTGTGCTGTGCCCTGGACTTGGCACCGGGGAGACAGGGAGAACCAGTCAGTTGTAGTCCCAGCCCTGGGAGGGGGGTCGCCCCCAAGCCAACCAGATCAGGTTACTGTATGGGGCAGCATGAGGGCAGGAGCTACACACAGGAGAGACTCAACCACAGCAAATGGCGAGATACTTACATCTAGTCCTGGCTCTCCAGGTCTGCCCTGAGGAGAAACAAAGAGGAGATGTGAGGGTGCTGGGAAGGGGGTATGGGAGCACAGCTGCTGGGAAGTTCAGCCTGTGAGTTGTCCACAGAGTCTGAACTCTGGCCTTGGGACTAGTGAGGTGCAGGGGTTGAGCCCCCAGGGCTGAGTGACACCACGGATGCACAGCAATAGTCGGGGGGACATTAAAGGAAGGTGGTTACCTTCTCTCCTTTTGTTCCTGGCAGCCCAATAAGGCCTGGTGGGCCAGCTGGCCCCTGGATGGAAAAGGAATGGGTCAAGAGGCGTGGTGGCTACAGGAATCAGCGCCTCTAAGGACAAACAAGGCTCGTGATACTCACAGGCAGGCCGCTGGCTCCTCTCTCCCCTGACGCGCCCTTCTCTCCCTTTGCTCCGTCCAAGCCCTGGAAGTGAAGGGGGGACATCAGTTAGGGGGAAGGGGTCAGACAGACAGCAGGACAGAAGGCTTGGAGCCTGAGTGGGAGCCGGGGTATGCAGGGCAGAGGGACAGACTCTGGGCTCTGACAGGCCTGGCCCCGGCTTCCTTCCTGTGCAAATAATCAGAATGAGCTGTGGGTGTGCGCATTTTACCTTTCCCACACATGGGCTCCTTCAGTAATCAGGGACGGTGGCTATGGCCACACCCATTTCACAGATGAGGAAAGAGAGACACACGGGCAGGGACGGCCCAGCTGCACAGCCAGGAAGTGGCAGGGCTGAGTACCAACCGGCTTTCTGAGCCCCAGCCTTGGCCCCCATCCCTGACAGCAGCAGCCTCTTCTAAACATGATCTGGGGGAGGCCTCAGGACAAAACAGAACCAGAAGCAGCACATCTGGTCGGGCCACATGCTCAGCCGCACTCAGCCCCGGGAAGCCATGACTGAGCCCCCTACTTGGCCTCTGAGCTGGGGAAGCAGAGATGTGCTCTCCCTCAGGGGAAACGAGAGAGAAGCCGGGTATGGCAAGCAGCTGGCCTCCCTTCTGTGTCGGCCCCCCAGAGCAGGGCACATGGGCAGGCCACACTCACAGCTTTAATTCAAGAGCAGAAGACGCGACATTACGTAACACCAAACCCAAGACTTGATGTGCAGGCTCTGCATGCGGGGAGCGTGGCGGAGAGGGCAAGGAAAGGGGAGGCACAGAGAAAGGTGGAGGCATGGGGCAAGGAAGACTGGGGCCCTGGGCGGAGGGAGAAGATGAAAGAACAGAGCTCCAAGCGTGGGGGTGGGGGCACCAGCTCCAAGGGCATCAGGAAGTTGTGCTCCAGGGGATTCAGAATGTTTAGGCCCTGGGGAGACTAAGCGCTGCTCTGAGGCTGAGTGTGGGGCCCTCACTGTGCTCATTAGCAGGGCTTTCTGGAACTGTCCAGGCTGTGAGTCTGCAGTGAGTAGGTGGGTTTCCACCCATGCCCCAGAACTCACCTTGGGACCCTGGATTCCCTGAAGGCCCTGGAGGAGGAGGAGAGAGCAGATCAGAAAGGCCATTGGGCTGAGTCCAGACTTCAGGTCTAGGGCTCCCTTGCTGTGGCCACCAAGGCTTGCAGGCCACTCACTGGCCCCTGTGGCCCTGACCTCTGCGGCCTCCCAAGCCCAGACCCTGGCTTTGCCTTCCTTGCCTGATGTGCCCCCTCCCCCTGGGGAATCCCATCCTCCTCTGGGTCACAGCTCCCAGGCCTGGCCCACCACCCTTTTCATATCCCAGCTGCTTCAAGTAAACGTTCTTACCATGGGGCCTGGGGGACCAGGGAGGCCGGGGGGTCCTGGTTCCACTATGATCTGGGCCTAGGAGGGGTCAGATGTGGATCAGTCACCCCTCACCTGCCCACGTTCTTGAGCTCCTCAAACACTGGAGGAGCACTCGCCGGGCATCGGGCTCTGAGGCACTAGGTCGGGGCTCCTTCCTGTCCCCAGGAGGGCGCTGACTGTTGGGAGGCCTGGCAGCTGGCCTTTGGGTTCTCAGAGGGGCCTCAGGTAGAGGACACAGCTGGAGACCCCCTCTCCCCCTCCCCCACTGCCCTGGGCTTGGCCAGGCCAGGTGGCCCGTCTGTCCCAAGGCTCAGGGCCCCAGAAGGCCTGGGCTGGGCGGTGGGGGGAGACCCTGGCCCTCAGCATCCCCTCTTACCAGGCTCTCCTGTAGGTTATCAGATGCCGGCTCTCCCTTCTCCCCCTTGGGGCCGTCGGCACCCTGCAGGACAGGATGGCCTGTGAGCCCTTTCTGTCAGTCATCAAGATCACCACCTGCAATGCTCAGCACCTCCCCTTCCCTCCCCAATAACGCCTCTGGCAGCAGCAATAAATTGGCCTTTGCAGCTTAAAGTAGTTTTCCCTAAATCAGTGTGACACGCCCTGGGTGCCCGGCACAGGGAGTATTTAGACAGCACACTGACAATGGTATACACGTTAAGTTCTCCTGTTGGGGAGGGGGTGACCAGGGGCTCTGAAAGCAAAGACCCGGGTCCAAACCGCAGCACTACCTCTCTAGCTGAGTGAGCCTCATGGATGGACAATGGCGGTGAAGTGGTGGCTTCCACCACTTCTGGCGGCTGCTTACACCCAGCAGCTCTTCCAGTCCAGCCAAGAGCAATGATCAAAATGACGATGATGGGGCCAGAGGGTACTTATCGTGAGCCAGCTACTGTTCTCAGCCCTGTCCGTGAGTCCCTCACAGGAGTGAGGAATCATCACCCCCATTTTAGAGGTGAGGAAACCAAGGCCCAAGGAGACTGGGGCACTTGTGCAGGGTTCCAGAGGCAGCAGGAGATGGAGCAGGACGCAAACTTGCGCAGTCAGAGCGTGGTCTAACCACCCGCCAACTCGCTTCCCCTGGTGGGGGCCTCCTTACTTCACCTTTATGGAGGCCTCAGGGGGAGGGAGGAGGTCCTTCTACAGATGAAGAAATGGGGCTCAGAGCACCTGAGCAGCGTGGGCTGAGAGCCCAGAGCTTCCCTCAAAGGCCCCGTGGCCCTGGGCTGGGCTGAGACTGCAGGGCCCCTGCCCCCAGCAGCCGCCATGGTGGGCACACGTTCACCTCGGGACCCCACAAGGGGCACGTACTGGGAGGCCCGACAGGCCCATCTCTCCTGCTTCCCCTTTGGGTCCAGTTGGCCCAGCCTCTCCTGGATCTCCTTTTGGTCCTTTGGGACCCTGAAAGCCACAAGAACAAGGGATCAGTGGGGCTCAGTAGGCATTCTCCCTTCCTCCATCCCAGTGGGTCCCCAGAGCTTAGTCCTGGGGACCTCCACTTCCAGGCCAGACCCCCACTTCCTCCTCGTGGGTTCCTGTCTCAGGCCCACTTGGTGACTGCATTGAGGTGCCTGGATAGAGTAAGGGAGGGGGTGCCCCCATGCCTGTCTCACTACATGCAGTGAGAGGGTGGTGTGAGTAGGGCTGGGCAGCCACTGAGGGGACACTTATAGGGTTTGGGGTCAACCCTGTGCTCACATCTCAGGAGCTGGTGGTGGTAGCCCCCAACCCCCACATACAGCCAACCATCCACCCAGTCACCCTTCCATCCACTTTGTTCCCTCACTCAACCAACTGTGTAATGTCCAAGATATGTCACACACTAGGGACCCAGCACCAAAGACATGCCCATGCATGTGAAGTGACACCCTGGACACGGTCATGTTGATGTGGGGTCACACACACGTGCATACTTACAATAACACTAATAATGACAGGAAGACTATTAGCTAACATTGAAGGCTCTTTGCTGCACCAGGCTGGCACTGCTCTAGCGTCTTCCACACACAGAGTTAGTTAACTCTCACAACAGCCCTGTTACCATCCTCACCTGCAGATGAGGAACCGAGGCTGCCAGAAAGTGAGCAGCCTGCCCGAGGCCTAAGGGCAGAACCAGGACTTGCATACTCTGTTCTGTGGCCTCTCTCCAACTCTGTGTGCGCGCACGTGCACACACACACACACACACACACACACACACACACACACAGCCTGACACCAGGCACCAGCATCACCAAGGAAATGAAAGGCCCAGAGACCTTCTCTCCGTCGATTCCTGGGGCACCGGGCAATCCGAGTTCGCCCTGGAAGGGAAGAGACAGCAAGGGGAGTTACGGTGTCCTGCAGCCCACAAGAGGGATTTGTGGTCGGGCTGCCTCCCAGACCAGCGCATGTCCCTGGCTGAGGTCCTGCAGTTGGACCTCTGGGAAGATGCCCACTGGGTACCCAGCACCGTGCCAGGTGCCAGCCACCCCCTCTCCTCCATTTCCTCAGCCCCATGGGAAGACGCAGCCCAGGGCTACAGTCTATGGGTGGGGAGGTTACCGAATGGGAAGCTGAGGCTCAGAGGGTTAAATGACTTGCTCCAGCCACGCTCTCCAGGGACGATGGCTGGGACCAGACCCTGCCTGCTTTCAGTCTTGGGCTCTTTCCTCTGAGCCAAGTGGGCAGGGTGCAAATGATGCACGCAGGCCATAGGCACGGCCTTGTAACCTATGGGACTTTGTGATGTCATGAGGGGCCAACTTATGGGTGTCGTGTAAATGAGGCGTCCCAGGGAGTAGAGTAGCTAGGGCCAGGAAGAAGGTGTCCAGCTTGGTTAGGAAGGAGCAGGCCCACTTTCTCTGAGCTGCCAGAAGCCAGGCCAGGCCATCAGGAGAGAAGCAAAGGGGGCATGGCAGAGAGGAGGGGGGAGGCGGGCCACACAAGGGGTCTTGGGGGGCAAACAGCTGCATCTGCACTGACCTTGGCTCCGGCCATCCCTGGCGGCCCCGGGGGCCCCTGTGGCCCAGGAGGACCCTGTATGCAAAAGTCAAGCCAGTCAGTGTTTAGGCAGGGCCTTGCCCTCACTGCCCACCCCCCCTTCCACTCGCGGGGTCACACTCCTGTCCAGCTGGGCTGCAGTAGGGTCAAGGGTCCTCACAGCCCGCTTCCCACAGCCGGGTCAGGGCCCGTGTCTTGAGGGAGGCCAGGGAGGTGGCACCAGGCATCTGGTAGGATATCACAGTGTCCACTACCAAGGAGGGCCCAGAATCCCTCTGCCCTCAGAACTAGTCTCCCCCAGATATAGATTTCTTCACAACACTCCCCTGCTCCAGATCTGCACTGGCTCCCTATTGCCTCTTGAACATGGCATTCAAGGCCAGCCAAAAATCACATCCCCATCAGTGCTCCAGCACTGCCCTCGCTGCCTCTCCTGTGAGCTCTCTGACCATCAGCTCCGTCGCCTGCTGTCCGCTGGTGCCGAGGAATTCCTGAGTCTCAGGGGTGAGGGATGGCATCTTGAGTGTCTGTGGGTCTGACCCACTCTCAAGCTCCTGACCTAGGCTTCCTGCAGTTCTCTGCCCAGCACAGCTCACTATCACCCCCAAACTCATGCCCCTCCTACAGGCCACACCCCACCCATCCCCTCAAGCCAGCAGGCGCTAGTCCTCTCCCTGCACCTCCTCTCACCAACCTGCCCCTTCCTGCTGGCGCCTCCGTTGAGATGTCCTGGTCTTGCTATCTTCCTCCATTCCGCCCACCCTCCTCCAGGCCCCGGGCCCAGGGCCTACCTCCCAGGTGGCCTCCCTGCCTCCAGCTGTCCCCACACCCGCATTCATTCACTGTCCACACCATTCCCCAGCCACCCTCCCCCAAATATGTATTTTTTAATATCACCTCTCTGTGCTCAAGAACCAACTACAGCAGCCCCCTGCCCATCAAATCACGTCATCATTCCAGTATGGCATCCAAAATCAACTTCCCGCCTCCCCGCACTCATAGAGCTCTCTAAGTGGCTCCTGGCTGGCCTGGGACACATCCTGCACATGCAAGCCCTTGGGCCACAGCACACCACACACCACACCACACCGTGCAGGCCTGGGGTGGGCCACAGTTACCATCAGCTTGTACTTCCCTGAGGCCTGTGGGAGAGAACTGGAACTGAAGCTCTGGTGGGGTCAGGTGTCTGATGCCCAGTCTGGTCTCTGAGGACCACCCCAGTTCCCTTCCCTGGCACCTAACCTCTCTCTCCACTGGTGATGGGTCCCTAGTTTGCCAGGCACCAGGCAGGGCTCAGAGGCCACATATCTCCCGAGGCTCCTGGGGCAGGCCTTGCCACTCTTATCCTCCCCCAACGATCATTAGAAGACCTGGCCTTCCAGCCTGTGTTCCCTGGGAAGGCCCCAAGAGGGCCTGCTGGGATTAGACACCAGGAAATGCTCTGCCTCCTGCCCCTGAGTGGGCAGCTTCCCTTTCTGCTTTGGCTTCTGGGGAGCTCGGGGCTGATGTGTCATATTCACAGTAGCTCTCTCAGCATCATGTGGGTCTCAACACAGCACTGATTTCTTTATCAGGCACCTGGTGAAGCTGGGGTCTTTGTGCTAAACTGCCCCTGGTCCCTTGTGTAAAGAAGTGCAGGATTTATACACAAAGTAAGTGGTTATTCCCTCAGGAAATGAAGAACAAGGTTGTGTCGGGTCCTGCCAGGAACACTACCTTAAGGGCATCCAAGATCCTGCCATCGTAGTCGATCACCACCGTGTCTCCCTGCTCGCCCTTCAGGCCTGGGGGCCCCTGAGCAGGAAGAGGAAGGATTTCAGGGAAGAGCCATGGTGGCCGTCTCTGCACTTCACCCAGAGAACCTGGTCGCGTGGCTCCACGAAGGCACGCCAGCTCAGCTGTAGCCCAGCGGGAACCCAGCACGAATGGGCCCCTGTCATTCACTGGGGCATGGAGAGCACACTCCAGGGGCCAGGCAGGGGGCGCACAGGAGGGAAGGGGGCCCTGGGGCCAACTGAGGAACACACCCCCCTGATCTGGGGGCGGCTGATTCACCTTCCTGTGGAAATTGAAGCCCACTGAGGCCCGATCCCTGAGTTCTCGAGGAAAACTGGAAAGTCTAATTTGGACGTGAAGTTCTACAGATTTTTAAATGTTGGCAAACAAACAAAAATAAACAAAAACAGCCAAACTCTCCAAAACACTGTAAAAAATGCACCCTTGTGCCTCCACTTCCCAACCTCTGGTAGAGCTGCACACGCGTGCACTAACATTCCCACTCAGTCCTGGTGATGCGCTCGTGTCCGTCTACACTCTCACGTGTGCTCTGTCCACACGTGTGTGTCTGCACGTGCACACGTCCACACAGGCACACGCACTGCGGCCAGCCTCGCCCTTCCCCTCTCACCTCCCCTCCCCACTGGGCACCTCTCTGCCGGAGAACAGGGAGGGGCTGTGAGCTCTTGGGTCAGGCCTGGGGCCAGCTGCTTGCAGAGGGGGCGAGACCCAGGCCAGGGCCTCATTTGCCAGCTGCCTCCTTGGACATGGCCGGCGCAGAACTGTACAGTTTACACAGAATCTCCATGCTCAGTGCCTGATCCAACCCCCGGGCACCCACAGACCAGGCTGCGGGGTTAGACACATGGTTTGGAGGAGGTAAGTGGCCTCTGGGAGTGTGAGGGGATGGGGCTGCTCAAGGCTGCAGGGCAGAGAACAGGATCTGGGATGTCCGCCTAAAGGTGTGTTGACAGGGGCTGGTCACAAAAGGTCTGGGAGCAGCCGGGTGGCTGTGCTCCCGGCGACAGGGATGAACCTCGATGTTGGGCAAGGCACCCCCCTAGGGGTAGGGTAACGCCATTTGTGACAAATCGAGGGTCCATGTTTAAACATGCCAAGAAAAGAGTCTAGGGGGGCAGACACTCACCTGGGGAGCAGAAAAGAGGGGAGAGGTCGGGACTCTTTTTTTATACATCCATTTTGAACACTTTACCAAAAGCATGTATTATGAGATTAAAAATGAAAAACTCACTAACGAATTATAAAGAAAAAAAAAGACCCCCAGTTCCTGGAGCTCCACTGCTCCTCTGGGGTCTCCGGGGGACAGGGGCTTCTGAAGGAACAGGGGTCCTGCATCCCATCGGTGTGGCCGGAGGGAGACTGCTTACCCGTGGCCCTGCGGCTCCGTCGGTGCCTCGCTGGCCCGGCTCCCCCTGTGGAGATGTCGGGTTGCAGCCAGCTGTGTACAGCTGAAGCGAAAGGTTCCCGCGTCCTCTCCAGTCCCCTCCTCTCCAAAGGGCACAAAGGGGCAGGGCCCACGTGCTGGAGCCCTAAGGGCTTAATGTATTCTACTGGCACCCCAGGAACAGGGATCCGGGAGCGGGGGCTTGCGGGACCCCGTTGTGTCCTGTTGTATAGAGATGGGCCACTGAAGCCCAGGAGCCCAAGGCTACGTGGTGACCTAGCCACACAGCTGGGCCTCGGCAGAGGCCTTGTCATTCACCCAGACCCACTGCCACCCACCCCAGGCCGGCCTCTGATGGCCAGTCCAACAAGACTCCTGGGCCCTGGCCCTCCCAGGACTCCCCACTTAGAAGGGCAAACTGGAGGTGAAGCCATATCTCCTCCTTATGATGGGGGCACTGGTCTGAATGGGGCCTGCGGGAGCCAGGCAGCGCACTGTGACGTCACCTTTGGCCCTGGGGCGCCGTCCACGCCGCTCTCTCCCCGAGGCCCCATGCTCCCTGGCTCGCCCTGTAGCAGAGACATTCGCCGTGAGGGCTGCCAGGGTCTGCTGGCTTCCAGAGCAGTTCCTGAAGAATGGGTCTGACCCTACGGACTCAGGGCTCTCCCCAGCCCAGGGGACCTAGGATCACGACCACCTTCCGGGCTGGGTCTTGGCATAGTTGGGGCAGCTCAGGGGCTCAAGAGCCATTTTAGAGGCAGGCTGGCCAGGATTTGGTGGCTGTCTCAAGGGGTTGGGGAAACAAGGACGACACCCAGTTCCTGGCTTGCCTAAGATGGGAACTAGGAGGACTTGAGAGTGTGAGGGGAGGCAAATGGCCTGGATGAGATGCCAGGCCTGTTGGTGAGTGGGGCCCAGGGCTTTCCTGCTGCCTCCCTCTGGCCTGCCTGGGCGCCAGCCCATGCTGACATGATGTGAAAGGGCCGAGTAGGGGCTTTACTAGGCAGATAGGAACCGTGGGTGGTGGGAGGCAAGGGGAGCTCCGGGGGAGGGACATGCGCCTACCTTGGGCCCTGGGGGTCCAGGGAGCCCTGGTTGGCTTGGTGTCCCGTCATCCCCCTGAGGAGAGAACAGCAGAGGCTGCAGCCTCAGACCCGGCCCAGCCCTCTGGCCGTCTATTGGCCACCCCGACTCTGCACTCCCCAGCACACCAGTCCACTCCTGGCACCAGCACTGGTCACACTGGGTCAAGGCAGCTCCTTTCTCCCTTCCTCGGCCCGCTAGGGCAGGAATGGGGTCAGATCCACCTGTTTCCCTCCCCCACCAGCCCAGGGCCAGCTCAGAACACGCCACAGCAGGTGTGTGCAGAAGGAATGGATGGGCAGGTGAAGGAGAGGGGATTCATTCCTTCAGTCAGCAGGTATCTTGGGAGCACCCTGGCCGGCCAGGCAGATGAGGTCCCTGCTCAATGGATCAGAGGAGGCCGAGGGCAAAGAAATATCCAGATAAATACATAGCAGCATGCCGGGAATAGAAGTGCTGGGAAGACAATATAAGAGGACGGCGGGATAGAGAGGGACTGGGGGAGGTGTGCTTCAGTAGGTGGCTGGGGACGGTCTTCCAGACCAGAGGACAGCTTTGCTGAGACCTGCAGGAGGAGGAGGCCGGGCCACGGGAAGAGGTGGGGGAAGACCACTGGGTCAGTGGTTCCCAAACTTGAGTGCACATCAGTGTCACCCAGGGGGCTGCTTGAACAGAGCACAGCCCACCCCCTGCGCCTCTGATTGGTGGGTCTGGGGTGGGCTCCAGGACGTGCAATTCTAAAAAGCCCCAATGATGCCAATAGTGCTGGTCCCAGGCCCACACTTTGAGAACCACTGTCCTGGGCCCTGAGGTGAGAATAAATTCGATGTGTTTGAGGAAGGGAAAGAATGAGCGAATGAGTGAGTGAATGAATGAACGAGATCCTGGCTTCAGAGACTGAGGATGGAGCAGCCCTCCACAGTGAGGACTCGGGTCTGCTGAGGAGCAGGGTGCCTGCCCCAGCCCTTCTCTTCTCTCCAGCCTCTTCCCACACCACCGCCAAAAGCTCCTCCACGGGCTCCCCTCACCTTCTTTCCAGGAACGCCCGGCTCACCCTGAGGGGGAGACAGTGGGGGAACAAGAGAGAGGTCAGAGCCATCCGAGCATGGCCCGGACACCAGGTCACCTGCTCCTCTGGTAGAAGCGGCCCTGATGACCCACGCTGGGTGCAGCCCCGAGCCCCTGAGCCCCTGAGAGGCACACGTGGGTGGTGGGGCAACAGTCTTGGACTCCACTCCTGACTGGGTCCCTCCCAAGCAGAACGACCCTGGGCAAGTCACTGTGCCTGGAAGTGGGGCTGTGCCACCCCCAGCCTCAGAGGGTGGCTGCGAGATCAGAGAGAACGCATTGAAAGCCCCTGGCTGGCGGCAGGTGCCCATGAAATGGAGCTCCTTTCCCACCCTTTCCTCCTGCTCAGTCCCAGGCTCTGGCTCCTTTAGGGATGACCACAGCCTTCCTCCCCACCCCAGCAGGTGCTGCTCAAGGAGGGAAGGAAAGAGAGAGCTGACATCTGGAGAGGGCTTTAAAAGTTAGAGTGTTTTATTATTGGATCCTAACAACCCAGTGCGAAGAGAGGGCAGGAAAGGTTTAACATGCCCCCATTTAACAGATGAGTGAACTGAGGCCCAGAGAGACAAAGTAACTTGCTCGAGGTCATGGAACTGAGTCTCCTAACTTGGCCTCCTGGGCTTCAATGGGGGCGGGCGGAGAGAGGTGGTAGGGGTGAGGGAGCCCATGCCCCCAGTCCATGGACAGGGCAATGGGAGTGAGGAGCACTCACCTGGGGCCCCGGGGGTCCCTTTGGGCCCTGGAACAAGAGAAGAGAAGGTGTTAAACGTGACTCTGGAGGCTGCTCCTGGGCTGTCTTCCTTGTCATCCTCATTTTCTGAAGGGTGACACTGAGTCCCAGAGAGCAGAAACTGGGCTGCGCTGCCTGTTCTAGGCCCAACTCCTTGCGTCTTGGACACCTTCTGCATCTGCATCAGATCTCAAGCAGTGCAGTGGACTGCAGGCTCCCCCCCAGGGAGGCGGGGCTGGGGGCCTGGCCTGTCTGCTCCTCACCGCTGGTTGGGGGTGTGCGCACACCTACAGCTGCAGGCATGAGCCTGGTGTGGGTGTGTGTGGGAAAGGGGCTTCCAGGCCTGCAACCATGGTGCTGCCAACCCAGGTCTCTGAAATGCCGGGATACTGACCGTCTCACCGTCTTGCCCAGCCGCTCCTTTGGGACCCTGAGGAGGCAAAAGAGGAGGGCAATGAGGGGATACAGGGACTCCATGGTTCACTGAGCCCACATCTCCTGGGCTGGGGCCCCAAGTTCACTCCCTCATTTCATCCTCACCAAACCCCCATCCACTTCACAGATGAGAAAGTTAAGGCTTAGGGAGTTATGTGCCCAACATGACAGGGAATAAATGAGCCAGTCGAGTAGGTGCTGGCCCCACATTGGAGGGGAAGGACAGATGGAGTCCCTGGATTAGGAGAGGAGTAGTACAATGAGGTGTGGCCTCCAGGGTTTGGGTTAGCACTATGAGAGGACAACTGACCCTAACTAGTTAGTATTAGAGGGAGAGAGAGCGGGGAACAGGGGTTGGTAGAGATCTGCAGAGAAAGTACCCACATATGGGTCTCAGGTCAGGGTTGGGGTCAGGATTAGGACTGAGACTGCAACCAAGGTCAGGGTTAGGGTCTATGGGTCTATTTGGGGTTAGAGTGAGGGGTGGCACTTGGGTTTGGAGGCAGGGTCAGAGTCCGTAGGGGTGAGAGTTAGGGTCTGGATAATAGTCTGAATTGGGGGTGTGGATCAGGATTTGGGAATGAGTTTGGGGTCAAGGTCTTAACTGGGTTTAGGGACCCAGTTAGTGTGGATTTAAGGTTTGATTGGGTTAAGAGTTGGGTCTGGGTTTTGACTGGGGACAGGGCTGAGTTGGGGTTGGTTCTGGGATCAGGATTTGGGGTTCTGGTAGGTACAGGACCAGGTCCTGGGTAGTCCAACTCCATGCCCTCTCTTACCACTGGGCCTGGTGCTCCCCTGGGGCCATCTTTCCCAGTGTCGCCAGGAGGGCCCCGGGCCCCAGGGGGTCCAGGGGGCCCTGGAGGCCCAGCAGCTCCATCTTGCCCTTGGTCTCCCTGAAAGAGATGGGGCCTGGCATGACTCTGAGGGTGAGAGGGAGGGGTCATGGCCTCCAGAGAACGGCCTCCTCAGATGGGCAGGCCGATGCCTTGCCCTTCCCAGCCCTCAGCAGGCTCAGAGGAAAGGGCTTTGTTATTGGGCTTCTTGCCACTTCTTGGTGGCCACATGAAGGGATGGGTCCCTATAACTCGGCATAAGAGGCCAACAGGACCTTTTACACTCCAAAGAATGTGCCATCTCCCCAGCTCTCGGTGCCTAAAGCCCGGCTATGGTGTTTAGGCGAGAGAGGAAACATGCTGGGTGTGGGACGAAGCATGAGTGTCCACCAGCCCCCTTCCTCCTGGAGAGGGGACCGCAGGCCTCCTGAGAGACCTTCCTGGTTGGTCAACCCCACCTCATTAAAAGTGGTGGAGGTGCGCTCTTGGCATTTGCCCCAGAGAAATGAAAACAATGTTCACACAAAACCTGTACAAGAATGCTCACAGCAGCTCTATTCATAACAGCCCCAACTGTGAGCAACCCAGACGTCCTCCAGCAGGTGGACAGTTAACCAGTCGGGGTACGGCCCTGTCACGGAACACTGCTCAGCAGTAAACAGAAGGAGCAAAGTGGGACACATGCAGCAACCTGGGGGCATCTCGAGGGAATCGTGCTGAGTGAAAAAACCCAGTCTCAAAAGGTACATACTCTACGACTGATCTACATGCATTCTTGAAATGGCAAAATTACAGAGAGGGAGCACAGATTAGTGTTGTCAAGGGTTAGGGATGGGGGTGGGAGGGAGGTGACTATAAAAGGCAGCAGGAGGGATCTCTGTGTGGTGGTCACACGAATCCACGAGGGTGATAACACTGCAGAGAACTAGACAGACACACAAATGTGGAAAACGGGTGAAATCTGAATAAGGCTGGTGGATCGTATCAATTTCCTGGTTGTGAGATTGTACGACAGTGATGCAAGCTGTCACCACTGGGGAACTGGACGAAGGGTACCTGGGGTATTATTTATGACAACTGCACGTGAATCTACAATTATCTCAAAATAAAAAGTTAAAAATAAAGGCTGACAAAGAGCCACACAGTCTCTCATGCAGCACCAAATCCCCAACTTTTGGACCCAATGTTAGTACCGGGTCAGACCCCAGGCAGCCAGAGCCCTCACCTGGTGGCCCCACCTGCAAGAAGGGAAGACCACAGTGCCACCAGCACTTCCTGCTGCTCCAGTGGTATCCATCCACCTGGCATAGGGCACAGTAATAGGGCACGGCCGGCTCACGGGGCCAGCAGCTCCCAACATTCCTGTAGCCAAGAAAGGTAGGTGCCTCTTGTGGAGGGGGCCCTGCTGTGTGCCCAGTGCTGGTGAGCGAGGACTTCCTGGAGGTTGTCTCGCCCAACTCTGTGACCCTCTGGCCAGGGCACTGCTGTTGTCCCATTTTACAGATGGAGTGGCTGAGGTCAGAGAGGGTAATCACTTATCCAGGGTCACAGAGCGAGGAGAGGCAGCGCCTCCTCTGGCCACTGAGGCAGGTGGTCTCCTTTAGACAGTTTTCATCCACAGACTGTATGATATGAATGAGCTCACCTCTCGAGCCAACGGCACTAAGACACAGTTCCCTAGTTTTCCCAATTAAAAAATTAACTCAGCTCTCAGTGTCTATCACACAGATCTTCTCATGATTCTGACACAGCCAGGGTCCTGACTGATGGTACAGACCTCCAGGTATAGACAGTTTGGTTAGGCCACCCTGCTGTGGGTGGTGATGGTGGTGGGTAATTCCTGCTTCATTTTACACCGTATTCAGAATTATCTGAAGACACTCCACCCTCCGCTGTTCCTTTCATAGCTCAGGGCTCCAGGCTGGGAACCACTGGCCTGAACTCTACTTATTAAGGCAGAAAATGGGTTAGACAGTTGAGCAGGTCCTAGGAGAGGTGTTTAGATTCTTCCCGAGTTACTCGGGAACTGAGGCCAGCCAGCGCAGGGATCTGACGGCTGAGGTCTAGCCCAGGACATGCAGGGGTGGGCTGAGGGAGGCTCGCAAACCAGCAGGCCCAGACACGCTACTTGGCCAGCTACCTTGAGGACGTGGCGGTTGTACCTGTGATGGTCTCTACTTATAAAGCCCGGATTGAGCCGTGGGAAAACCATCTAGTCAGGAAACAGGATTTGTGGTCAGAAAGGCAGGAGGGTGATTTAGAAAACCACAGGTCACTTCTGGAGGCAAAGCCACTTAAAGCAGCCCAGAGAAAGGCAGCGTGGTAATTGGGAGTGGCAGACTGTGTTCTCCAAAGAGGGCTGCTACGCTCGCTCCCATCCCACAGGCTCCTCTGCAACATGACCTTGACATTCCCCGTCAAGAGCTGGGGTCTATTTCTCCACCCCCTGACTCTGGGTGGGCCCTGTGACTGATGTGATCAATAGAATGCATGGAAGTGATGCTGTGTCCATCCTGGGTGTAGCTCTTAACTGGCCTGGCGGTTCCCCCGTCCTGCCTGTTGGAGTGTGACTCTTGGGATGCCCCTTTAGGACCCCCACTGCCATGTGGGGAGAAGCCTGAGCCACAGGGAGATCTGCATGTGCGTGCCCCCCAGCTGAGCTCCCAGCCAACAGCCCATCAACTGTGGCCATGTGAGGATGACATCACCTTAGACTCCACGCCCAGCCGCCTCTGCTGCAACAGGAGAGACCCCAGCCAACCCAAGGGGTCATGAGAGATAGTGACCCATTGTTGTTTTAAGCCACTGAACTTTCAGAGGTGGAGGATGTTTCACAGGTGGCTGGAACATGGGGACCAGAGGGAGTTTATCCATGAAGAGGGGAGGCGCTTGGGAAGGGATCTGTTCTTCTATGACACCTGGGCTGGGGGAGTTCTAGTCTGTTGAGGAGCAGGCCTCTCTGTTTGGAGGATCAGCTTCCATACTCACCAGAAAGCACGCAAAAGGATTTTTCTCAGCAGGTACCAAACTCAACACAGGCGCCCTTTCTTTGACTTCAGGGAATCTCACCAGCTTTGTGCGGCCCTGCCATCACCCTCCCATCAAAGGCCCAGCACAGATCAGCTCTGTCTTGGGGGTACCCAGCCTGGCCAGCCCCCTTCCTGGCTCCCTGCTCACATTCCTGCCCGCCCTGTGATGTGGGCCCAGCTGGCCTCCCTTCACAGACGGGGCTCAGAGCCACGAGGCTGCAGAGCAGGACCGGGACCCAGGCCACACTCTCCGTGCTGCAGCCCCCTTCCCTTTACACTCCCCATATGTAGTGCCCTCCCCTCTCTCACTCTCCGCTCCATTCCCGCCTCCAGCGTTTGCAGAAGCTCGCCCTATGTGATGGGCCCACTGGCTGCAATTTCTACCTCACGACCTTCTTACAAACAACCAGGAGCACACCACTCTCTTGCCTTCTTTGGGCAGCTGATGCCCACCTCTCAGCCTCCGTGGTCAGGCCTCCACTACTTCCTGCCTGGGCTGTGGAGGAAATGGCAAGGCCACGTGTCTAGGGTCGCTTAAGTGACCCTCGGGCTGGGACCCGCTTTGTGAGGCCCACCCCAGCTGGGGTCTCCACTCTGCTTCAGCCTCCGTTGAAGAGACCCCAGGTTGGGCACAAGGCACTTCTGAGTCCCTGGGCCCAGGAGGCACTGAGGGCCAGGGGTGGGCTGGGCAGACACTCTGATCTACTGGCCCCACACTGGGTGCTGGGTACCCACTTTTATGATTGCAATGAGCCTTCACCACAGCGGCCTGGGGTAGGGGCTGTCGCCCCCACTCACAGTGGGAGAAACTGAGTCTCAGAGGGGAAAGTAATTTGCTTAGGTCACTTGGCAGGCAAGTGGCAGAGCTGAGTCTGAGCTCAGGGCCACTGACCCCACAGCCTTCCCTCTTCGTGGGGAGCCACCTGCCCTCGAGAAGGTCAGTCTCTGATCTGGGACCAGTGCTAGCCCCACTGTCTGCCCATCCACGGTGAAAAACATCCCAGGGACATCTGCCAGAGACTCCCCGTCTGTGCAGGGGCTTCCACCCTGCAGCCTTTTAAGTGAAAACATGCAGCGGGACAGCTGCTCACCCACCTCTTTCTGTGATAAGCTGTAGGGACCCAGCAGAAACACTAGATATGCTCACTATAACATAAAACAAGCCCTGTGGCGTGGGTGAGGGGGTCTTGCTCACTTCTTACCCGGGGGCCAAAGTCTCCTGGTGCACCCTAGGAAAAAATAGGCAGATACATCACCACAACTTTTACTACCTCTTCACATGTATTGAGCATTTACTCTGTGCTCAGTGCTTCACAAACATGGTCTCACTTCCTTCTAACAAATATAACATGCAGGCTCTATTTTTATCTCCATTTCCAGTGAGGAAACTGAGGCACAGAGAGGCTAAGTAACCTGCCCAAAGTCAGACAGCTAGCAGATCCAGGGCTTGGAACCAGGTGGTCTGTTATCTATTGCCAGCCCCCAGACATGGTGGAGCAGAGACGAGCTGCTCCCACTGTGTCTTCTCGGAATCCCTGAACCTTGGAACAATGAGGGACAATAATTGATTGTTTTAAGTCACCAAGTTTTGGGGCAGTGCATTACGCAACGATGGATGCCAAGACACCAATTTCTCTCTGGTTTCAAAGCCCCTGCCTTAATCATTTCTACGACTCAGTGGCATCAGCCAGAACCATCAGGAAGGTAATCAGTGCACCTGCCAAGTGCACGAGTGTCTCATTATCTACAAAGGATGCAGACTGTGACCTCGTGTGTCTTCCGCATGGCTCTGTGAGGTTGGTTTTAATTTACAGATGGAGAAGCTGAGGCCCAAAGAGCCAGGCAATTTGTGGAAGGCCACACAGTTGGTGGTGGAGCCAGAATGCAACCTTGAGGCTCTGAACACCAGATCTCGTGCCTTGCTCAGCCCTGATGGTGGACTGGAACTGTGGCCGCCCTTCCTTAAGTGGGCCACACCACAGCAGGTGTCAGGAGTGGACGTGGCCCAGCTACACCCAGCCCTACCCTGGAAGCGCCCACATCCCACCACACCCAGGTCTGCTCTGGTCCCTCCCCTGCTCCCTTCTGAGGCACCTGGAGGTCCCAGCCCTCCAGGGGTGTGGCTGTGACATTTAGTGCCAAACACCAGGGAAGCCCTTCTCACAAAGGGTTGCAAAGATTCCAGGAGCAGCTCTCTGTCACCTGTTTTCCTGGGGGGGCATCCTTCCCACAAAGAATGCCATCAACAGTCATTGTTCAATGCCCCAGGCTCTCCTGGCTCCCCCATTTCATGGTTAGTTACTGTGGAAACTTGTCATTCTGAGCAGACTGGGCTTTGAGTTTTGTCATGCTCCGGTGCCAGGAGAACTCAGATTTAACCCTCCGTGTACTTTAAATTGTCAAATGTAAGCCTCGTAACCATTTTAGGAGGTAGGAACTACTAGCCGCACTTTACAGATGGGGAAACTGAGGCTCTAGGAGGGGTATGACATGCCCAAGGTCACGCTCTGGAACTGGGGTTTGGCGGCAGGTTTCTGGCATCCTTCATCAGCCTACTGCATCTGGACAGCCTCTAGCATCACTTACCTTTTCTCCCTTGGGGCCTGGAAGTCCCTGGAGAAGGAAGGTGGAGAAAGAACAGGTGTGAGTGAGAAGGACAAGGCTAGCCCTGCTTCCTGCTTCCCTAAGGCTTTGAGGACAGAATGGCTGGTGATGCCGAGCAGAGCTATGGGTGGTCAAGTGGTAAAACACACAAGCCTGTCAGCTCTTAATAAGGGTTGCCTGTGCTGGCCCCAAGGAGTCTCCACACCTCAGTCCTAACATGAGGGAGATGGGGGACTCGGGGGTCACCAGTGAGGGCCCTGGCATCCTCTCAGCAGGGACAGGGCCATATGTGCTAGCCACGCCCCCCAGAGAGCAGAGCCCTCCCTGCTCAGCACCTGCTGTGGCCAGGTGTTGGTGAGGAGGCCACTGCTCTCAGAGTCAGGCGTGCGTGAATGTGGGGGTGGTGGCTGCCATCACTCTCTGGCTGCAGGGAAACGTGTCTTTTTCAATCCTGCCACCTTACCGGGCCTTCTAGGGAAGAAGGTCAGGCCAGAGGGCACTGACTGTGGGGCTCAGAGTCCCCAAGGTGGGGGCCAGGCTGTGGCGGGCCAGCTTGTGGCCGATATTCTTGGTCAGGGACTGACCTGCTCACTGCCTTCATCCCTCCCCAAACCATCCATTCTCCCTTCAGCCAGTAATGGATTCACTTGTTCATTCATTCAACTTGTCCATCCAGGCAGTCAGTTCTTTCCTCCATCCTTCAATAATGCACCAGTCAACTCTTCAATCATTTGTTAGGTCATTCATTTCTTCACTCACTTGTCTGTTCAACTATCGTGCATTTACCCACCCACTAACTCACCTACTCTTCCACGTATCCAACTGTCTGTACAATCATTGATTCATTACTTCATTTGACTTTTCTTCCACCCATCCATCCATCCATCCATCCATCCATCCATCCATCCATCCATCCATCTATTCATCTATTCACCCATCCGTCCATCTGTTCATCAATCCATTCATCCGTCCTTCTTTCTTTCCACCCATCTATCCATCATCCATCCATCCGTCCGTCCATCCACCCATCTGTCCTTCCTTCCTTCCATCCATCCATCCACCCACCCACCCACCCACCCACATCCAATTATTTATTTTATTATGCTGTCTGTCTGTGATCTTATTCATTCTGCTGAGGATGCCTGTGGACCACAGGCTCCTGGCTCAGCTGTTGAGAACCCCTCAGCCTGATGACCACCATCTAAGTCTTGAGACTGTATGGGGAGATGCTCCATGCCTGGGGCCTGCTGGGAGGGACTTGTGTGTTTTGAAGACTGACTAGATGCCAAGGATGGGGCTATCGACAGTTCTCCACATCCCCAGAATCCCTGTGGGGAGGATTAATGTGCCTGTTTGACAGAGAGGAGCCTCAGGCTCGGGAGGTGAAGAAGCCTCCCCAAGGTCGCACAGTCAGCAGGTGTTGGAGCTGGATTTGAACTCAAGTTTGATACCCAAATGGCTTCTCTCTGCCCTGAGCCAGGTTCTCAATGGCCCTTCCCTTTGGTGCCCTACGGTCACTCCCATACCTTGGGGCAGCCCCATCCCAGGACCACCTAGAACAGCCCTGTCATCACTTACAGGCTTGCCATCCAGACCCAGTGGCCCCTGGAAGACAAGAGAGAGAGAGAGAGCAGAGGTTACACATGGGAAAGGCATTCCTCGATGTTTTACGACCCAGAGGCACTATCGAGTGACAGGAGACCAGAGCCTGTCCTGAGCCCAGGCTCCGGGTATATTCACACGGCCTCTGGGTGGGGACGTTGCCCAGAATCCCTTCCTCTGACAGCAGAGCCCCACTTCTTCTCCAAAACCACCCCCATCCACCCCATGGGGCTTGGGTGTGTGACTGCATTCCCTCAGCAGGGTAACTGGTTTGGGGCTGAGCGTCACGCCTGGCACTTTGAATGGTAGCGCTTTCGGGGAAAGCGGGCTCTTTTCTCCTGATGGGACTAAGCCTGGAGCTCCTGGGGCACCATGGGGCTTGAGAAAGAGCCAACAGAGAGGAAGGCAGAGCTGAGAGACAGAGAAAGTGGGTGAAGGGCCTGAAGCTGAAAATACCCTGTGGACTTCCAGCTGCCAGCCAGTACTTTTGTTTGCTCTTAAGCCAGCTTGAACTGCCTTTGTCAGTTGTAACTTGTTATTACTGACTGTGTCGCCCCAGATTCACATGTTGAAACCTAACCCCCAAAATGATGGTATTAGCAGGGAGGCCTTTGGGAGTGATTAGGTCATGAGGGTGGAGCCCCCATGAGTGGGATTAGTGCCCTTATAAAAGACCCTAGAGAGCTCTCTAGTTCTTCCCCACCATGTGAGGACACAGCGAGAAGTCAGCAGCCCACAAGCCGGGAGAGGGCTCTCCCCAGAACGCGACCACACCGGTGTCCTGGTCTTGGACTCGCAGCCTCTGAACTGTGAGAAATAGACTTCTCTTGTCTATGAGCCACCCAGACTCTGGTGCTTTGTTAGAGCAGCGGGAAGGGACATAACTGGACGTAACTGAAGAGTCCTGCACTGCTGTGGCCTTTGCAGGCAAAGGTCAAGGCTTAGAGAAGGCAAGCAACACAAGGGTGGGTCCTGTGAGCTGGGGCATTGGGGGACCTGGGGCTCTGTGGTGTATGCAGAGGGCTAGTGACCACTGCACAGCAGCCCCCACCAGGCCCCCTCACCTGTGCACCCACCCACCCACTCAACAAAGCCTCGCTGAGCTCCACCTCTGCGTGGGAGTGTAGAGGAAGCCCACTGGGGTGCCGCAGACTGAGACCATCCGGTCTCTGCCAACCGCTGTCCTCCTCCCTGTCACTGTCCCCTCATCCCCACACACCCATGCTTCACCCTTCACCCTTGACCCCAGCAAATGTTCTAGGCAGCTCCACTCTCCTGAGCCTTTGCATGCACTGCCTGTCTGCCTGGCACATTCTTCCTGCCTTTGTGCATCTCCAGCTCAGTTACCTCCTCTTCCATGAAGCCCTCCAGGCCTCTCCACTTCCCAGAGTTAGGCCACTTGGCCTTGTGCCCAGCACATATTCTAGCTGTTGCACATGACACAATGTATTGTTAAGATGTGGTCTACACAAGTCTTCCAGTGGATCCAGGAGAAGGGTCTGACCCCTGTGCTCCAGTCTCTGATGAGGCCTGGCGTGGAGCACGTGCCAGTAAATGTGTGCTGAGTCAAACCAAGGAAAGGCGGCAGCAAAGATGAGCTGTGTGCAAATATGTATCACACAACGCCAACGTGGGCACTGAGGGGTGGGTCTGAGCGGGGAGAGAGCACATCTGGCTTTGGGGGGACTGGAAACGATCAGGGAGCACCACCTTGAGAAAGTAGCATCTGGGGATTTGGACAGAGCCAGCGTGTGTGGGGCGAGGACACCGTGGGCAGAGAGAACAGCCCAGCAAAGGCAGGAGGAGGGAGTGTGCAGGGGCCCTCGAGCAGAGGGGCAGCTCCAGTCTCGGCATCGACACCCGATCTCCGGTCTCTCACAGCCTCACACGGGTTTGTCCCTGTCACTCCCGTGGTTCCACAGCTGAGGCAGCACTCCCTGGCCCAGCGTCCTCTGTGGCCAGGGCCAGCCTTTGCCTTTCAGTCGTCCTGTGTCCCTGTTCCTGCCCCCGGCACTCTCTGCTTCTTTCCCATCTTCATGCCTTTGCTTGGGCAGTTCCCACTGCTTGCAATGCCCTTCCCTGCCTCCTCCACCTGGTGAGAGCCACTCATCCTCCGAGAAAATCTCTGGCTCCGGGAAGCTGGTCTCTCCTTCCTTGGGCCTGGACACAGTCGGGGAATTGGTGACCCCGCCTGTCGGGTCCAGCAGTAAACCGCCGGTTTCCTGGCTCAACCTCCAGGCTGCCCTGAGCGGATAGAGCCAACGTGCCAACTCCCCAGAGGCTGAGAGAGTGGCCACTCCACTGTGCGCTCGCACCAGGGCCTCGCTCCGGGCAGGAAACCAGGAAAATCCTGAAAATTGATCTCTTAAGTGCTTCTGGCCACCAGCCCCAGGGTCTGCTGAGGGTCTGAAAACTAGGGTGATGGCCTGGGGGCAGCTGGGGTCCCAGGAGATGAGGAGCGGGGCCATTCCAAAGTCTTAGGGTCCAGGCCCTGGAGGCTCCTGGTCAGGGCCTCAGCCTCAGTCACAGGCGCAGTCCCGTCCCTGTCACCTGAGGCTCACCAGGAACTGCCCTAGCTGGCCCATCTCCTCTTGTGGGCTCCTGGCTGTCCTGACCCCTGGATCCACATGCCCGAGGCCTCCTCCCTTCAGCAGTCCACTACAATTGGGTCCTGCTCCTTCTTCATGCCCATGCTCCGGCCTTGCAAGGCCTCCTCAGGACCACTCCCCCCTCTGCATCTCTACCCGGGACCCTTCACCCAGGCCCAGCCCTCTCAGCTGCAATAACACACGCGGGGCCCAGTCCCATCCTCGGTCTCTTCTGGGAGCTCTTCGTGGCCCCCACTCAGTCTGAACCACCACAGCAACCGTGTAAGGCAGGTGTTACCATCCTTGTCCGACAGAGGAGGGAACTGAGGCCCAGCGAGGGCAGACCTGGCCCACGGCCGGGCAGCCGGTACCAGGCTGGGCTGGAGCCCAGGACGGTGGTCATTTCCACCTCCTTTCTGCACGCAAGCCCGCACAGCGGCCTTGCCTGGCTTCTGGCCATTCTCTCCCCTCTAGTCTGCCTCTGTTCAAATCTTCCCTGCTCCACCCCACTGCCCACCGGACCTCGCCTATCGACGGGCCCCCAGCCACCTCGTCCGGCATGGCTGCCACTGAAGACTCTGCACCCAGGGCCTGTGCGCACCCGTGTGTCCCGCTGAACTGAGCCCAAATGCAGCGCAAGCTTCACCCCTCTGTTAATCTGCACGGACTAAAAGACACCATGATGCAGACCAAAATGCCAAAGAGTCTATGGTGCAGCTTAGAACTAAACAAAGCTCTCTCTTCTTCTTATGTTGAAAGGGAGGACACAGTGCGCCTCACAGCTAAGTCACTGGCAGCAGCTGGGGACAAGTACCAGCCTCAGGGCCTGGACCACGTGAAGTGAAGGCGACCCCCAATAAAGGCTGGGACACAGAGCAGGGCCAGGTCCCAGGGAAGCGGGCATCCTGCCCCTTAGGACCACAGATGGGGAGACTCTCCGGGGCACGTCCGCACGTGTTCATCACTTTGGACTCCACTGAGCGCTGCCAGACCCTCAAGGCGTCTGCCCGCACTGCAGCCCCAGGAGGAAGGTGCCGGGGCACCCCCGTAGATGAGGAAGCCGAGCCAGTGGGACCGTCCATGGGCTGAAACAGGCCCTACTCTTCATGCAGTGTTCCCTCTCCTGCAGTACGGGCAACAGGGGTGACAGATGGCCATCCTGGGGGACCTGAGGTGGAGCCTCACAGTACGGGGATTCCTGGCCCGTCTGTCTCTCCCACTGAGCAGACCCTCCCCTGGCAGGGCTCTCTGGACTCTCTTTCACTCTGACCCTCTGCCAGAGAGAGCACTGGATCAGACAGACACACTTGCTGTGTGACCCTGGGAAAGCCAGTCAACCCCTCTGAGCCCCAGCACCCTCATCACCTGGTCTCCCCAGCACGGCTGTTCCTGCCCTGGCTTCACTCCAGTTTTCTCTTAAACTCTGCAGCACCTGGGGGCTCCTGACAACCCTAGGGAGCGGGAAAGAGCTGTTCTAGTGTTCTCACGGGTATATCTGGGGCCCCTGAGGCCCCATGCACTGTCATCCATCATGCTGTTTCCTGGACCCAAGCTGTGCTTTCTCATCTCCATCCACTGCACAGTGTCCTTCCTCCACCTGGAGAACTCCCAGTCATTCTTCAAGGCCCAGCTTAAATGGCCCCTCTTCTGGGAGCTTCCCCAGAGAGAAGCAGCATCCACCCAGCCTGTCTGCCACAGAGCCGTGTCCCTATTATTCTAGAGGAACGTCCTGTGGCTGAGCTCCAGGAGGCACGTGGAGCCATTGGAGGGGGCAGGCTCTGGATCCAGACACACTTGGGATCAAATCCTGGCTTTCCCATGTGCCACCTCGTGACCCTGGGCCTCGGCATCTAGAACAGGGAGAGGGGCCTTCCCGCCTTGCTGACCTGTGTGTGCAGGTTCTGCTGGAAGGGTCTCTGTGCACTGAGTGAAAGGTGTAAACAGGAGAAGGGACAGGACAACGTGAGCCTCCCCCCCCACCTCCCCGGCACCCCTCCCGGGGCAGTGCTGGCACCAGCTTCTGTGTGGTCCTTCAGGAAGCAGTCCCTGCCTACAGAAGCTCAAACACAGAGCCCCTGCCTTTCTTACTTTTAAAGCCCTGGATGGGCTGAACAGTATACACCTGTGGGTCCATCTGCCTCAGGTTGCAGGAGACTGGCTCCTGGCCCTGCCCTCCTCACTCTGGGCAGCCCAACACTCACGTGAGACCCCGGGCATCATCCCCATGGCTCTTCCCTGGACTAAGACCTGTAGTCTGTCCCACACAGTGCCCTGGAGAACTTTCTAGAAGGCAAATATAACTACTCTGCCCTCCTACTTGAGCCCCTCTGGGGAGCCTCACTCCTGAAGGATGACGTCCTGCTCTGGAGCCCAAAGCCCCCATCCCAGGCCTAGGCACTGAGTGTGTGTTCTGGT